TGAATAATGCCGTGTGTACTGCGATTAAGAGAACAGCTATATCCGACGCCTCGATACTAACGGTTAGGAGAAAGCCGGAAACTTGGCAGAAGGTCGAATTCGAATCGATGGGCACCTTGGCGAAGAAGGCGAGGGGGCAGATTACGAGCCACAGTGCCTTCATCATGTCGCTTTGAATCAAGAGCATTATCAAGCTGAGTCGTGGTCAGCTCATTTTGTCCTACATTATGGACAAGATGGGTCCTTTTTGATCTATTGACTTACTCGTGGCGGAAGCTTCTCCTCATTCGGACGAACCAGTAAAAGGCACACAAAGCAGCAAGCACACTGATTGAGGCCATGGAGAGAGATATCGACATTATCGCTAAAATTTCTGGGTTATCCATATAACTCGGAGTTGAGTCGCGTTTTTCGGAAAGGGCGCCATAAGTTGTGAGAATTTTGGCCAGGGTGGCGCCCGGCTGCCATGTTATGGGAGCCATCTTTGCTGTTGAGGCCAAAACGGAGGCTCGGGATGCGTTTGAAGAAATAAATGATCTGGCATGCTTCTAGCGAAATATTATTCGCACCGGAAGACGGATTTCATGATTGCATAATCTGTGTGATCCGATCGGTGGTAGAAACTTGAGGGTTGAGAGGAAGCTTGGGCGTAGAGGTATCCGCTATGACACTCGCCTAAGTAACGAAAAAAAAAGTGCTAGGCGGCACACAACGATACGATCTGCAGGTTGGATGTTCTTTCTACGAGAATAGAAAAATTAAATCCTCCCAGGTCCTTCGCCTCTGAAAATACCTAGTATACGGGGAAAAAGAGAAGTAGGAGGAAAGTTCACATCCACCCCATCAACAAGCCCGAACGATGGTGGGAAAGCATGTCCTCGGGGATGCAGTTCATGCATAGCACGCTCAGACAAGAGGGTCCGAACTCTTAGAGACTCATGTTGCACGTCGAAAAGAGTATAAGGAGAGGTCAATAATGCTCCTGCACCTCGCGATATAGTATCGTATCAATTAACAGAACCAAGTTCGAGTTCAAGAAAAAGCCCCGAACGGTAACGTATGAAAGTTGAGAAACGGTTGAGGTGCAGTAGGCAATTAACAAAAGCAACCAGGGCATATGCCGATCTAAATAGTATAACCCGAGTAGGGTAAGGTGTCGTAGGATAAAGTTAACCAAAGAAATAAAAGGAAAAGGGAGTATTCCATATTTTAATGTTTGCGGTCTGTTTTAGTGGCGGTGAGGACTGAAGCGAAGAATTGGCTGGTAGTGAACGTCCAGGGCTGCCAGGGCTGCCCAGGGTTGACACTTGACTGAGTTGGGAACACTTAAGGCACTTCAAGGCACTTAAGGGAACAAGAAATAGAGGGAATCGGTGTGTGAGGGCTGTGCTCAAGTGCCAGACGTCTGTCAGGGGATAGTCAGGTACGTTGCTCGCGAGATTCTCTAAAGTCCAGATGTCGCTAAGATCACCAATTATCACCAATAAAAATGTTGAAGTTGGCTGGTTATCAGAAAACTTTGACCAAGTGATGAGGCCCGGGTGACGCTAGAGGGCATGAAAAGCCGTGACAGACTTGGTCGGAGCAGCATCCGATGATTTGTTCAAATCTTAGCGCGCGCGACCAAATCTCCATAAACCATTCATAAACCTGCTAATGAACCTGTCACTGCTGTCATAAACCTACCATAGCCTGCCATAACCAACATTGAATCTCCATAATATTAATGCCCATTTAAATCATTAAATCCATAACTCCTTGTGCTCCTCCCTGTTACTGCTGCTTCTCTTCCCAATGACGAAACCCCACACACATATCCCCATCCCCCGTAACGCCTCCCCCTCCGCTTTCGTCATAGCCCTAACCACGTAGCAAGTTCCAAGGTTGGCAGGATTGCTTGGATTGCCTAAAGGCGGCGCATGCAAGCGAGATCTGGTGACCGGCGTCTCGGGACAAGTTACCAAGCCTGCTGACCCCCACCAAGTACAACATGATTTTTCGGTTTGTTTGCTTTTATTTTCATATGATATTTCTCAAATGCCGTTTTTCTTTTCCCTCATTTTTAAAAATCCGAGAAAAATAACGCTGTGGGGATTCCGTTGCACATTATTCGGAGTTGTGCTTCCGTCGATCTGTTACCCATGGAGGTATTCCGAATAAAAGACCCATCCATTATGCCGCTTTCATCGCCCCGTTTAGCGAGGACGCGGCGGCCCGCAGGGTTCCATTAGCGCTTCTCCAAGGCAGTTAAAAAGGTCCCTTTTTCCTCGGAGGGTTAAAGGTTGGATCTAAGCGCCGTGTCTAATTGCTACTTTGGCTAGGTAAATCTCGATGAAATCGAATCAAACATTAGATTGTTGAGATTGGCTTTTTAAGGGATCATATTAACTCCGGATATGTAAAGATCGCCCGGGGTTACCGAGGGTGTGTGATACGACATCCTTAAAGCCCCGAGAAACTTCACACGGGCATTGTCTTCGGAGCTTTAATATAACTTCATTCACTTCACACCTCCTTAGCTACCGCACTTTGATATCTCGGTCGCTCAACTATTCATATAATGTGTCTCAACAACATCTTGTTCGAAGGATCGGAGCTTGAGCATACCTACATGGCCTATCTATCCACATTGTTGAGAAGGACACCATCTTCCTTGTTCAAACGCCCTTGCATTTTCAAGGCGAGCTAGGCATTTGTGGCTTTGTAATCGTATTGACCACCAGCCAATATACCTATTATTCTTAACTTTAATCCGGGATCATGGTTCATCTCCTGGATATTTTACGAGCTCTAGCGATGCGCTATGTCGCCGACGACGATGATACATAAGTCCCTCATACCTAGATATATATGCAGGTAAGTGCTAAAGCATTGAATGGAGGAGGATGGACCTACCTAAACAGGTAGCGAAGTGCAATTAAGGTGTCGAGTTGGATCGCTTGCATCGTCGCTCTTGGGACAGTAGTTCGAATATTGGGTCTTCACTAGATGATTTTGGAATTGTTCAGCATCTCTGTTGAAATAATTTCATTTATACAGAACGTCGGCAATCAAACTTTCAGCAGCGCCACAAACGCCATACAGCGCCATACAGTATGATGAGAGCTTCACTGTCGTACTGCAGTTAACAGCATCGCCGATATCAGCCTTCGATACATCCAAGCCCACCTGCACGGGCTCCACTCATTCGCGAGGAAAATACCTCAACAACCTATGTGAAGTTTCGGTTCATACATCGAATTTGAGGCATCTTGCTGGACTTGAGTCCTAGATAACCCAACCTCGTGTGAGTGATGTGAGTTTATTTCACACCTAAGTTTATAAGATGGACTATTAAATTTACCTCGGTACTTAACCTACCTACCTGGTTTGTGCGTGTCGTAGGGAACTTATTACCTAAGGTTACCTAGGAGTTGCTAATATTCTTGTAACACGTTTGTCTCGGGACCCTAGCCAAAGGTTGATGCAGTGCTTTTTTTCTCCATTTCGCAAACGAGGCTAATTATTTAATCTATATTAAGGATGAAGTATTTATCATCATGCCTCTTAAGATGAGTTCTCAGTGAGGTGCCCTTGAAGATATGAATTTTCACATATACGAAATGGCGACCAGGGTCAACCTGAGACATCCTTGTTCTCGATGGCGCAGTGAGACTTCGTTTGAGTCAAAACAAGCTATTTATCAATCGTCTTACTCCTTGTAAAATATGATTGGACTGTTTCCAAATCAGATACCGCATTCAGCAAACAACCTACCATAATCGAATCACAGACTCGCCCATCACTACGGACATACTCGTATTATGTAATCCCGAATACTGAGATTATGTCCGAGATTGAGCCTCACAAAGGCTGGTGATAGCGGGGTTATTGCATGGTGGTCTGTGCTTGTGCTGCAACATCCGAGTCTTCACATTGTCAACTCCTTTCGTGACTCACTAAAGTCAAGAGCAAAAGATAAATACTGCTTGATGTAGCGATCTGAACTAGATTTTCTTTGAAAGAGTTCTTGTCTCATAGAGCGACTCATTTTTCATTCGTTCTTGAACCTTTACCCCATTTTCTAACGCTTGAAATTTCGAGTATATCTCAAGGCTCAGGCTTACGATCACCAAGCAAACGGTATAAAAATTAGAAGCTTTCGCCAATACTAGATAAATAGAGTTGAAAATATACAAGATGGCACAGAACGGAGTTGTCGTCAACAGTGAGATTGCGCTGCTGTATCCCTTTGATTTCTTTGACACTCACTGATGACGCGTAATCAGACTCGTCACCCAAGGTAGCAAACGTCACAATCGAGTACCCAGACGTCTCACTGGCCGAAGATGAAGACTTCACAGCCGCGCTTACAGATCTCGTCAATGCCGGGTATAGCGAGGCCGAGGCCGGTATCTTCAAGCCAGGCTATCTGCGCACATCAGCAAGCGAGATCGCGGGCTTCGTAAAAAGCGGTCTCCTGGTTGTTGCCTCAGTACCCTCTCCCGAAGCAACGTCGAAACGAGTGCCGCTAGGCTGTATTTCGATTAAGAAGCTTGCCGAGAACCGCGCCGAGCTCGGGTTATTTGCAGTTGTCATCAATCAGCGTGGTAGCGGAATCGGGCGGGATCTGATGGACTGGTCGGAGAAGTGGTGTCTTGACAACCTTGGTGGCCCCGGGGTTGCCATTGCGCAGCTTGATCTACTAGTCCCAACTCATTTCACGCACACATTCAAGGTGCGCTTGGAGTTGTGGTACACGAAACGGGGGTACCGGCTCACGGGGAGTCGCGACTTCGCGCTTGACTATCCCAGTCTTGCGCCTCAGCTTTCGGGACCGACTGAGTATCGTGTCTATGAGAAGACGTTGTGATAGGTAGAGAAGGGATCTCATATGTGTTGTAACTAGAATTACTATAAAGCCGGGCGAGTTTAGCATGGAATTGATGAGGCCTTAGATAACACAGGTGCCGACTAAAAACAAAAAAAAAGTTCCCAAAAAGAAAAAAAAAAGATTGAATCGGCCAGCGAGGGAATCGAACCCTCGAGCTACTGCTCACTAGTGGAGTCAATGCCATAGCAATGAGATCGATTGTAAGCAGCGCCATGCCACCCCGGCCATTGAGCCTAATCTATTACCAGATTCTTGAAAATCCATAACCTTCTTAATACTTATAAGTCTTGCTACGCAGAAGGATTATCAAAGACCAGACTACCCCTTAAGAGCATTGACCAAGCCCATTCATGTAAGATAGGTATGAAGTTATACGCATAACCACTTTTATGAAGTGAATACGTAAATAAGGACATAATGCCAGTAGTATGAACGACTATATTACCTATAAACACCTGGTATTTTGATTAGGCGAAAGAGAGCGAGGCCGAAATGTTCATACTCCTTGCCGCCTTTATCAATCTCCCAATAATTTCAACGCGACGATTGCAAGAGGCTTAATTTTGAAGACTTTGAGCTGAAGCACTAACAACCCAATGGACGAATTTCGTAGAAGCCGGAAACTGTGGTGATTCCCGAGGTCCCCTAGGTAGGTAGCTTCACTTCGCGTCATCAGTTCGAACCTGTTTGCATCATGGCCTGAGAATACGTGATGCTTCATTTTGTGCCACTCAAGGACACGTTATCTCATACCGGTTACACCATATACCTATGTCAACTCAGGGAGGCGAATCATTTTGAGGTAAAGCAGAATGAAGAATTAAACTTCATTAATACTCTACCTACCTAGGTAATATTTTATTTCGAGCTCGGAAGCGTGAAGATTGAAACATGTTCTTGGGAGTTCAATATCATTAGATAGAGACGAATCTCCAGTACCTACCGTATAATATGACAGATATGAGGATAATTATATCCAATACAGTCGGTTACTATCACTCAGATATCAGAATCATTTGTTGTGATTACCTAGGTACCTACCTAGTAGGTCAGGTAGGTATTCATATTTAAAATGGTTGAAAGGGGGTTATCTGTACCCTAACCCCATCCCTAACCCTAACCCCGAAGAATTCTTGTGTAACACGATTAATTCATCAAGTGCAGGTGTGCAAGAACTTATTGAATATCAAGTTGGTTTTAAAGTGCGTATTCTTGTGTATCTCCATTCGTTATCGTTAAAATCACATAATCTCATCAATACCTATTAGCCCAGTATTCAAGGAGGATTTCTATATAGGTAACTGCCTGCCCAGGTGGTCTGTAAGCGATTAAGATAATGGGATATCACGGACTCCGTACCCAGAACATTTCCTACACTTAACCTAGTACAGTACAGCCGACTCATGACCTATCTTGAGCGATCTCAAAAACATGATGCTGCTAAGCATTGTTTTTCTACCCAGGCAATGTGAACTCGCATCATCATACTCTTTAGGTCAGCCATTGTTTGGACACTATTAGGACCTGGATTCTGAGAAATCATTGATCCCGTCTGTAGGTCTCCTAACTCAGGTGCCTACTAAAAACTACTTTCTGGATCTGGCTACCTAGGTTGGTTTGGTCTCGTTACCTACCTAGATATTCATAGCCAGTTCATATTGCGGAGAATACTTCAAAAACATGTAGGAATTATTACCTGGCTGTCATCTGGGCATGTGAAGGACTAAACCTTGACTAAACGGGGATCTCGACAAGGCATAGGACTCTCGTATTTCTCAGGATATGACATATCAACTCTAGAGGAACTCATGACCATCCTGCCTAGAATTTTACTAATGCCCTCGGATCTGCTTGCCATATCCAGGATGGTAGAATAGGCAGGTAAGTCGTTCGCACCCACTTCCCGTATCTATGCCCAGATGACTTGAACGATGACCGCGAATTGCCGCAGTTTTAGGAATGACGACGGTTCATGCGTGAGGCATGTAGGCAAATATGACAAAATAAGTGATATCCCACGAGCCTGCCGCACGGTGCCATCGCGATGCATCAGCTTGATGGACTAGAGTAATCCGGATGTTCGAATAGTGCATAAGATACTCTATTTTGGGACAAGATACACGCTTCATGCATCTCAACCCTGTTATTCGCAATGCCTGTCAGATGCGGAATATTTCCATCAATTAGGTGGTTTCTTTAGTTTGAAATGTTTCAGTGCTACTCATCAACGCTTTTCCGTTTTGTTTTAGAGGATAGAAGCGAACTTGTAAAAGCTAGTCGGTATGGTTATCATCTTGGGGGCTAATTTAGTCCAACGTTGAGGCGCTATATCTGCAGCTAGTCTTGACAGCTAAGAGTCACTGGGAATCTCTATAATTGGAGAAGAGAAGAGTGGGTACGGTTAGTAATCCTATATTGGTCCTTTTCACCTAAGGTGAAGAAGATATACTGTCTGCTTGTTACCGAAACTGTGCGACATAGAGACTTTTCCAGACCTCGGAAAATTACTATTTAATTAGCTGCTGATAATCATTTGGTAATACCAGCTATCCGGATGCAAGATAACAGATACGCAGGTGAGGGACCTATGCGACTTCGGCCGCCAAGGCGTCATACCGACTACCTCTGCCGGTGAGATAGTCGAACTCGCGCTTCATCAAGTCGGTTTCGTTCCCGGATTCCCTCGCTCCCAGAAAATCCTGGATTGACCAAGCGATCCTCTCTGCGCCGATCCTAGCCCCGATGAGGTTAGGGGCCCCGGGACCGAGTTGTAATGCGGCAAGCCTACCGGCAACGAATAGGGGCACGTCGTCTCTCCACTATAGCGCATGCTGTCAATTAGACCACTGCCTCTAGTGCAAAACAATAGATGGAGACTCAGTGAGTGGATATAGGGTTCACCGAAAAAACAATAGAGGGTTTAGACAAGAAATTGTAGGAGGGAGCCCACTTACGGCCATATTCTCTGTTATACATGGGAGTCCTCCGCAACTTTCGATAGGATAGTCGGAGCAAATAGACTTCAAGAATGGGAGACATTTGAAATTACTCTGGACGCCAGTGGCGAAGTAGATGTGATCGATTGGAGGGAGCGTCTGGCTCTCGTCCGACAGCGACACTGCCCAGGTCCTAGAACTCGAGTCCCAACGCTTTTCCTTAATTGTAGTGTTCTGAAGTAGGCAAAGCCGACCAGTGGATATATGCCGCTCAAGGATTTTCTTATACGGTGGCGTGATGCTGCCTCCATTCCGGGCCGTTTTGATCTTTTCCCACCGCTCTTCGGTGGAGTCCGCGGTCCAGAATGCAGCCTGCTCGAAGTTCCGGAACTTTCCTACCCACTCGAGCCCTACGTCGAAGGGCTTGACCTTTAGCGGCCCACGCATCAACAGCCACACTTTGGTCACGCCTCGACGAATCGCTAGGTCAGCTAGCTGAGCTGAGGTTAAGCCGCCCCCGACTATTACAATATTTGTCTGGTGCTTGGCATTCACCTTCGCTCGAACACGAGCCGACGGCATTTCCTTTATGTGCATCGCGTGGGTCATTGCCTCCATCCCCTCTGCTCCCTCGGTTGGTGGGTCTGGGATTTGGGGCGGGTTACCTCCTACTGCTAATACCACAATCTTTGCATGATGAACGCCCCTGTCTGTTTTGATGGTGAAGATCTTGTCGACTTCAGAGTAATCTTCGAGATAGTCGAATCGAATATCCTCCACTTTTTCATGTGACACTATGTTACCGCGCAAGTCATATCGGTCTATTAGGCATCCACAGTGCGAGGCGAAAAGCGGCGTCGACGGGACGAAGTAGTCGTTTCGATCACGTTCATCAACCGTAGGTTCTGTTCTAGGTCTACCAGCCCTCAGTACAGTGATTGTGCAATTTGGGTGGTGTAGCTTACTGTCTCCCAGACCTTTCTCTCTTCTTCCTTTGGTGTTTACTCAACTCTTTTCCGACGCATCCCCGAAGCTCCGTTAATTCGTTATCCCGATCGTTTCGATACGTATAAGCCAATAACCCGTCGCGTTCTGCAGGGTCGACATGGAAGAACATTGGACTCCGGAGATGGGAGATGTCGAAAGTCTTGAATAAGGTATCCCATCGTGTCATCCATTTGTTGCCTGTCGCGTCAAGTGCTAGAAGGTCAAGTCCAGCCTTATCTGATGGAGTGGTGGATGATTTCCGGCGTATCTCAAAACCCGTCTTATAGTTCTTGATGCTAGCCCGATTTCTATGTTTCTGGATCCAATGATACCTCTGATGTTCGTCGTCGGAAAAGTTAGCAGCGGGCATGCGTTCGGACAGGCGTGCCGCGACGGCAAGGCCGCAAGGACCTCCGCCGATGATTATAACGTCGCGAACTCGAATATCAGCCATTTTTGTCGTGTCAGATTCGCTCTTAGGCGTATAAAACGATGGTGGCAAGGACATCAGGTAGAATAGTCGGGTATAAGAAGCTTCATGACTATGCGAGGGAACCTTGATGGATGGCCAAGGTGAGCACCCTGATGGCATCTTTCCTTCCTCGAAGGCGACCTTGAGGTCACCACTGCCAAGTGCGATTCATAGCACATGACTATAATTGTTGAATCCATTGTAAAAAAGTATAAAGGTAACAGTTGGAAATCAGGATCGATCGCAAAAAACAGGCCAATCTAAGGGATCTTGAGAGAGCTCTGAAATGAGAAGCGCATCCAAGTTTCCGAATATTAGTACCTAGTACTCAAAATAAAGCCACCCAAGCCCTTTTATCCACAAATTCTTGATTCATTGTTGTCGCGATCATCAAACAGTTTATAAAAAAGGTTGCCGATTGATTTTCTTCATTCAAAATGTTCCGCGACATGGTGAGCCACGGCAGTCTCGTCTCCTTCAAATGCACCGCATACCGGACAAGTCGCTGTGGCTGAGGTTACATCTAGGACTGAATTCGAGTTGTTACTCTCGGATACATCATCGTGTCGCGCCGGGTCATCTTCTTGGCCAGGCTCCTTTGGCGCATTCTTATTCTTGCCTTTGCCTTTACCTTTTCGTTTAGTGGGTACAATATACGCGGCCAGGTCAGTCTGATCCGGTGGCGCTTCAAGTGGTTCATCGAGTCGCATGTCTCTGTAACGCGGGCGGCGCCCACGTGGATTTTGAGCTGTCCGATTGGCTGGATCGGTCAACTCATCTTCAGCGGGCGCAGAAGTAGCAGTACTTGAAGTACTTCCAGTACTTATCAAGGTAACACC